GACTGTTCTCAATTAAAATGCTGTAGAGCATCAGCACTCAAGGTTTGTATAAAGTTGCTGGATTTGACTGAAAATCCATTCAAAAATCCACATTTCTTTTGTATTTCTGATGCTTGTCTTCAGACTCTCCCTTCCCTGCAGAGCTTCCCCTGTGCCCTGGACCATCTACTACCAGCCAGTTTCACCATTCTGATCAACCTTAGAAGTTAAAAATGACCACAAATTGTGGCTAGCAGGTTGGGAGGAGACAGGCAGAAATGTGTGGGAAGAGAGTAACTGAATACAGGAGAGAAGGAAAACTGCAATTGAGAAACAAGATGAAACTTTGAGGTCCCAAAAAGCATTACTGGTGTTTACTGGTTAAATCTAAAACTTATTAAGCTCCAGTATGCAATAAAAACTTCATCTGATAAGCTGCAATTAAAAAAAAATAAATTTAAAAGCCTTTCCAGAAATTAATATTACAAATGGTTAAACACGTATTTCAGTTTACTGGAAATAAAATGTGTTAGGAAGAGAAAGGGATGATGCTTTCTAAGTTTTCTTCTCAAATAACAACAATCTTAAATCTTTTAAAAACTGTTCAGTGGAAATGGGCTGATATGTAATTGAGTCAAAAAGGCCAGTACAAGAATGCTGCCTATAGATAATTTAAAATTCCTATACCATTTCTCCTGAGCTGTGAGAAAATCCTTTTCATTCTAAGAAACAAAATTACAGAGACCTTGAAAACCCCAATACAAACAAGTTTATTTGTACCGATTATGTGGTGCGTGATTTGCTGTGTCAGATCCTAACAACATTCCATCTATCCAGTATTAGTAAACATCAAAAGCTGAATTTCCATTGCAATTTCAGAAATCTAAACTTTTTTTTTGCCTCAGTTATATCTCTTTGTGTTCGTCAAATGAAATAGAGTGGTAGGAAACATCTTTGACTTGCCATATAAAGAATTCCCAGCAAATATAAAACCTTTCTGCCTGAAGCTGCTGGCAAAAGGATGTATTGTGAACAAAAAAGCTGAAGTAGCAAGCATGAAATGTTTTTAGTTATTCTCATCTTTCATGTACCTCACACAGGATCCGTGCCAGGTGGCCCATACTGAAAATAGGACATCTAAAGTACCAGCTAGAGTGCAAACATTTGTCCTCTGATGTTCAGAACTGAGTACCATGCTGATTTTGCAGTGGTAGCTGAATGCCAGTTTCAGAAACCTATGGATCACCTAAAGGCAGTCACGGATTACATTTGAAAACTTCTGTCCATGTGCACTTGCAGTAGAAGATCCCTTTCTAGGACTCTCGCTCTTCCATATAGCAGAGCTGCCTAGCTGTAGAGGCTTGCTGTAAATTGTTCCTCAGAGAAGGTCCAACATATTGGACAAACTGGATTATCTGCCCTGAAATGTTGAAGTTCTTAGAGTACAGAAGTTCTAATCAAATTCCAAATGATAGTATTTTTTCTTCTATTTCACATGACTATGACTGACCTGAATTCCTTCTTTTCTGGCTCAGAAAAGCAATTTATCTGGCAACCATGTTGCTAGTACTTTGAGGTAATTGGGCAAAATAGCTTAGGTTGGAAGGAACTTGAAGATGGGTGTGAGACTTAAGACAGGGTTTGGATCTCAAATTTCAAGGGAAAATGTTTATCAGGGAAAAAAAAATACTTCAGTTATTCAAAAGAAAATACAACATGTTGTCCCTTCTCCTAAGACAAAGTTATTTATATAGGAACTAAGCTGTTCTGCACTTGAAAATCATGGTTATGTTGCCTGATAGATACACTTGACCGATGCTGGAAATGAAAATAGGCTTTTTGCCTCAGTTTCTTTCTAAATGTCACTGCATAATGTGATCTGCTACATGCTAGCAAGAGTATACATAACAGTCACAAACTTGCTTTTTAAAGTACCATCTGGAATGCATGTGTCTGAGCAGAGCCAGAGGAGAAATTCAGAAAAGTACCAAGTGCCGCATACAAATCAAACAGTGTGCTTCTTTTCTTGTAGTTCTGTAGAGAAAAAAAAAAAAAAAATGGGGCAGAAAGATGAGTTACACTGTTTGCCTCAGTCCAGGACATTCAGGGTACTTTCCAATCTGAGGGAAAAGAAAACTGTAAACAAACATTAGTAATGAAGAATTATTTTTTTTTAAAAATTGATCTTCACAGGAACCAAAGCACAAAAGGCTACTATTGAAAAATACTAGACTTAATTATAAACATTAGAAGGAGTCATGCAATAATTTAATATATGATTAATAATAAAGAGAGCTCATTTATGCTTTTTAAAACTGATAGGTCAGTGGATGGAATTCAATGGACATGAGTTCCAATACACTGTATTTTGGTCTTCCTTGTTTACTGTACTATAACTGTTTTCATTTTTTAGTGGTGTCTGAAAAGTATGCTGAAGTGTAAGTATCAACTTGCTCATGAAGTGCATTCATCTCCACAGTAAAAATGAAACATTTTTATATCTGGGAATTAACCTTAGTTTTGGACCATGAAAACAAACTGTCTTGATTTCAGTTTTGACTAAAGGAAGCATTCTTGTTAGATGAAGCAGGAGAGTATAAAACTAAAAGGCCTTGGTAAAAATAAACCATATTAAATTAGACTGGCATCATGTTAGAATACATTCAAGAATAAATTAGAGGACAAGATTACAGACTGATCTTCACAGTAGTTACATACTGCCATGAGAAACAGATGTGATAACAATTCAAATCCTTTAGACTTAAACTGAGCCAAATTTAATCTATAAACTCTTTGGGATTTGCATATACTTGCTTCTTTGAAGTATGTACTTATATAGCTCTATAATAACCAAGTATGGAAAGACTGGAAACTAAACTTTGGAAGACTCACAAAATCTGACTACAGAGTGTCATTTGGAAAAGACTGGACCTATGTTTTATGCTTTTAATTAGATGGTAGGTATTACCAAAAACTTAACTTCAAGCATTCTAGTTTTTGTTTCAAAAAGGGTGCCTTTTATAGACAGAATTGCTTGCTCAAATGGTATAAAACATGAGAAAAAAAAAAAAAAGAAGACACATTTTTTATAATTTTATTTTTAAAATGGGCAATGATTAAGCAAATGGTAGTGACAATTAAAAGAAATTGATCATAATTCTCTCCCATCGTTAATTTAAGCTATCAAAAGCAAGTTGATGCAGGGCTTCTAGAGTGGCACCCAGCACACTCTGGCCAATACTAGCTAGAAAAGCAATTTTGGCCAAAAGCCACTAATACTCAGTGCCTGCTGAGATTAAGAGAGAGGGATTTATTAAAATGCATGCAACTGAGATAAGTACTCAGAAGGGCAAGAGTCAAAGCAAGGCTATGCTACAAACTTCCCAGTGATAATGTGGGTCGAGGTACGAAAGGTTTAGATTTCTCACTGACAGATACGCTATTACTTTACTAGTGCGGCTTTTTTTTGTCCCCTGTGACTGGTTGTTTTCCTGTAGCAGCAAGCAAGGTATCTTTGCTGGTCAACACTTCTTGTGGATTTGATACAATCCAGTATATCAGTACTGTTAAAATTAACTTAAGTTTCTAATCAGTGGTCCAACAGCCTATAGCCTAGACACTGCCTGGACCACTAACTCATTTCATATGGGGATAGAGGAAGGCATAAATAGTGGTGATAGAGAAGATGCTTTCTTTCAGAAAAAAAAAAAAAAAAAAAAAAAGCACCTTGAAACATTATTATACCTAGCAGAACTCCATGTGGGGCATACAGAGAATCAGTGTTTGTTCTGAATACAGGTTCCAGTGAGACGTTATAAACAAAAATGAATGCTGAAATCTGCAAAACTGAATCAGATGAAAGAGAAGCAGGAGACTGAGCCTGCATGCTTTTACATATTATCTGGTGATGTTATCATCCACTAAGATATATTAATCGAGTGTCACAAATAGCAGCAATATTTCTTAAACCCTTGTTAGGCAGATTTTCTTGGTATACTAACATTATTTTTGTAAACTGATGCCCCATTACACACACAAAAATAGTATTTCTGAGAGATTATTTTAATAAAATTTTTCTATTTTAGACCTATTTCGGCTAAAGACTGTTTGTCATTTATCCAGTGTTATTTTACATACTCATAGCTTCAGACTTCCTCGTGCCTCAGAGAGAACACCAGAAAAATCCTAATCCCAAAACCAGCCTCCTTCATTGCCATTTCCATTTTTACCTAGTCACTGACCCCTGATTAAATCCAGTTGTAGCCACAGTTCCCTGTTAGATCACAGGTGGCATTCATGGATTAGCAAATTAGACCCGAAAAAACCTTTCTATGTCCTGTTCAAATCAGGTCAGCCCAAAGATGTGTGTTGCGTACACCTGCAGTGTCCCACGGGTGAGCTGCAAAGCTCAGAAAGACGAGCTGGTGTGTCAACCCTCTAGAGGAAGCAGGCTGTAAAAAAGTTTGTTTTAAATGAGGGTCGCTTGTCTTGTCTTAAAACAACTAAAAACTCAAGTCACCTCCCAGGCAGTGCTGTTTGTCTAAGGGGTAAGGGGAGCACTGAGCACCACGGACAGACCAAGCTGGTCCCCAGCTGCGACCAGGCGGGACTCGCAGGTTATGCCACGCACCCCTGACCGAGAGGCGTCCCCTGTGGGGCTGACCACGGAGCACCCGTGGGCACACAGCTGCCCGGCCCCAGCCAAAAGGCGCCATGACAGACAGTACCGACCCACCTGACGCCTCATCCGCCGCCACAGGCGCCGCGGCACGGCTGCGGCAGCTGCGCATGCGCACTTACCCGCCCGCGGCCTTAGCCCCACCCCTCCAAGGGACATGCGGCCCGCTGTCACTCATCCCACCTCTCGTCCCGCCCTTCTGCCGGGCGGCCGGCCGGGGCCGGGCGCATGCGCAGCTGGCCGCGCCCATTGCGCACCGCCTCCTCGCTGCCCGTGGCGCAGGCGCAGTGGCGGCTTCGGGGGGGTGGGGGCGGAGGGGAGCAGTTTAACCGTAAACATCCTGCCGATTTGAACGGCGGGTTTGGGCGGCAGGAAGGGCGGCGGCCGCCATCTTGTTTGTTTGAGTGAGCGGCTCGGCTCGGCTCGGTGCGGGGAGGAGGAGCGGAGCGGTTACCGGGCCCGGCCTCGCCAGCCGCTGCACCAGCCTCCCCCAGCACCGGACCAGGGTAAGGAGCAGCTCTGGCCGTGCTTGCTGCCGCCGTCCGCAGGGGCATGGCGGGGCCCGGCCGCAGCCTGGCTGCCGGCCTGCTCGGGCTCGGCTGCGGTGGGGCACGGCCGCGCCGGCTCCTGGGCCGAGCCCTCCCGGCGGCGGCGGGAGGGGACGGCCCGCCTGGGGGCTCCTCGGGAAGGGCAGGGTGGCGGGGCCGTGCCCGGTGTCCCGGAGCGCGGGGCCGTGTGTTTGGGGTGACCCCTCTGCGGGCCCCAGCGAGGGGGCAGAGCGGGGGGGTGCGCTCCGGCGTGGGGCCGGTCTGTAAGCCTGGAGCAGCCCCACGCGTGGAGGCGCGGTGACCGTCCGGCTTTCACGGGAGAGCCCGGCGAGCAAGGTATTGGGGGCTGGTGGCCGGAATAATGTAACAGATCCCCAGTTGTGGGTTGGCGGAAGGGACGGCGGAGCTGTGGGGCTGCTGCAGCCTGGGGAGGGGGAGAGGAGTAAAGTTTCGCCTGCCTGTCTCTTTATTTTCTAATGTGATTTAGCTTGTCGCTTGGATAAAGCAGACTATTGAATGTTCTCACAATCCTCACTAGTAATATAAGAGCTACCTTCTGGGCTCTGTGACTGTTGATCTGCAAATAAAAGGCCCCTTTAAAAAGGCCTTCCTCTTGAAGAATTAAGACCTTACTCTAGCAGCTCCTATGGACACTCTGATATCAATTTTACTATAGTTTTTAAGATTTCTCTCTGATCCTAAATGAAAGGCTTCTTTTAAATATCAAATAAGGTGTTGTAGCTTTGTCAATAACAAAGGAAGTCTAGTGCCACTGCGACTTACTGGCATGGCACTGTTTCAGTGAAAATGGCTCTTTAAATTCAGACACATGGAGGAAAATGGCGTAAATCTGGAGAAGTTATTACTTTGGCCCACGATGTGCGAATATGTGCAATAAGCATGTGCTTTCATTAATCTCTTCCTCATTAAAACATCAAAAATGGAGACATGTCAAAGCGTTAGTAGGGCCAGGCTTGCATTTTATTTTGTGAAGGCTTATTTGTAAATATTTTACATTTTGTGGAACTTTGAAACACAAAGCCCACTGATGTAAAGTTTTAACTAGAGAGGGAGTGGTGGTGGGGAATAAAAGGAGGAGCAAAAAGTTAGTAAGACCTACAATAAACTTAAATTACCACCCGATTAAATTAGTCTTGTCTTGTCACTAGGGTTGCTGATACAGGATTTCCCACAGAAATGAGAATAGTTGCCTTAGTTAATATGTGAGTTTAACTCCTTTGAGGCAGAATGTTAGAAAGTGAGTGTTTTACATTTGGGCCCTTTGGAGGAGCAGTGTAGAGGAATAACTGCTGCAGAAGACAGAGTAATATAAGGAATTCTATTCTTTTACTCAACTTATGTACATTTAAGGAGTGTGTTAATACATGGTTTCTGCAAGTACGTTAGTTTGACTTAGAACTGAAATTGCGCAGAACAGCTTGAGATAATTGAGATATGGCCTAAAATTAAAAATACTATTTTCCACTGTATGAGTGAACATACTGAATGTAGGGGCAAGGGCAGGATACCTGCTGAGGTTTAGATATGAGAATGGAGTTGAGGGCAGGGGGTGAACAGTGTTCATAGGGTTCAGTATACTCAAACTCTGTATAATTCTGAGTGATCTGCCTTTTGAATTAGTAACTTTTATGGGGTGCTGGTTCTAGCAGTTTGATTATGTAGGTATGTAGTATATTGTAATTGGAGAACAGTGTGAATGTGTTTCCTCTAAAGGAGTGGTGTGTTTTGAGCAATTCTAGATCTAGTAGTGCAACCTCAGCTGTATGTTTTCACAAAAAATGTTGGTGGAAAAAAACAAGACTTGGAGACAAATGGAGAATGCTGTATGCATTTATCAAAGGTATGTCAAGTTGGACTAGTTCAATTTAATCTTTTCAATAATTGATTTTGTGGACATAAGAAATTGAGGTGACTTGTCACTGAACTTGAGTAAAGCTGCAGATACCACAAAAAATATATTAGGATTCAGAAAAATGCAGTGTTGATTAACCAGAGAATTATAAAGGTGGTTGAAGGAAGGAGGTGAAATAAGGTAGTGCTGAAAAGAGGCACTGAGCTGTAAGGAGTTATTAGTGGAGTTTATGAAGACTGGTCCTGTGATTAATTGTTTTTTTTTTTTCAGTGGCACCAGGTATTCAGTGTTCTGATGAAACCTGCTTGAGACAACATTAGTAAATTCCTGCACCAGGGAAGTTTTAAACATGTAAGGAGGACTGTGTAGTGAGGGAATATGAGTTAAAATTGAAGAACTACAATTGCAGGGTTAGGGTAATCCTTCAGGACTTCTAAAGTCTAGCAGGGCCAACTCAGACTGTTGCAGGTGCACAGGGTGAGCTCACTCTTGCCCAGTTCGCCCAATGCTGGCTTGGCTTAGCAAAACAGAAACAGGGACAGCATAGGAAGAAAATGTGTGTAGGGAGGGAACCAGCAGAGAAGAAAGATTGAAGGATAGCATAAGAATGAATGAATTAAAATGACTGATTTTTAAACTGTAGTATGGAAATTGTCTGCTGATCAGTGGATGAATGTGATTCTGGAGTAGCCTTACAACTGGAACAAAAGTAGGTGACAATAAAACAAATTGAAGACTGAATTTAACCTATGAACTGGTATGTGTATATGTAATCTGGCTTAAAGTAACAGGCAAGTGGATTTAATGGGCTAGAGTGAATTATGGTCAAATTAAAATATCGTGAATATTGTAACTGTTGTCTGCAATATTATTGTCAAGTGTTAGTTCATTAAGCTTCTTTCTGAATGTCTTGAAGGATGAGACTCAAGCTACACAAGAGTGCTTTTCAGAGTTTAGATAGTTAGCCATTCTAATATACAGAGGGATTTTAAGACTTAGTACTTGTGAATTGATGGTTAAGATGGAGTTCATAGGTAGCATCTACCCAGTTTTCTTGTTGCTTCTTCAGGAGGATCAATTACCAGATACTTAGATAAGAGAATGAAACAGGGAGATTCTGGATCAGACCCTGCGTACTATCTGTATTGTATTAGTTTCTTTTAATGTGCTCAGTTACTTTGTAGAATTATAGCCTTTTTTTACACTTCTATAAGAAGAAAAATATTAAAAATAAGATTATGCAATTGTTGAGGATCAATTTAGTCAGAGGAACCTGAGGATAACTGTGGCACATTGAAGCAAATTTGAAGTTAATTAAAATCAAGTTTAAAGTATTTTAAAAGCACAATTTGGCAAGATCAGGATTTGTTCCCACCTGGTCCTGTGTGAGCACAAGTTATTTTTGCCTCAGAGCAGTACAAGCAAGACAGAAAAACTAGTAAGTTCTTAGAACAAGTTTCAAGGTCCTGGTTCATATCCAGCCAGTTTCAAAAATTAAGTTATATTTTACCTTACAAGCTTTATAAGAGTCATCAGCTACCCTTTTTCTTTTGAGGATTCTTTTGAGTTGCTTTTACAGCCAATGACATATGTTTTACATGTCTGCTTGAGCACTCTGCCACTCCAAGGAACTCTTAGTTCCTTTAACATGCATCCCAGTCTCAAATTATGCCAGAAAAATCTATTTCTTCTCCTTTCATGCCACTGCATCAGCATACTGCCCTATGAATTAAAGATCAGACAAAAAGCCTGAAATAAAGAAAAGGATTATCTGAAAAGAAAGAAAAAAATCTGGAGAAAATGAGGACAACAATTGGAGCCTGCTTTAAGCAATTGTGCTGATGCTCTGAACAGCAGCAGCTGAACTGCTGCAGCTCAGAACTGTAAAAGTGGGATTTGTGCAGTTGTTGTAACCCAGGTATTACCATATAGAGCAGAGCATCTGCTGGAATTTGGAAGTCTCAGAGACTGACATTGTGGCAGGAAATTAGTGCTTCAGGGAATAGAAGTATTACTTGTTAATAACAGTTCAGATTAATACACACTTTACCTGTAGTCTGATTGTCACTGTTTCTCTTCATGTATTTCACTGTTGCAAGGCTTCATTAATTGATGAGGAGAAACACGTGACCTCTGTCAGAAGCTAGTTATTTTTTTATTCTTATTCACTCCAGAAGTTAAGTACCCTGCACATGTAGTATAAACTTCTCATTTGTCTTACAAGCAAATTTTAGGTTTGATCCATGACTCCAGTACGGAGTGGTAGTCAAACGTAGGAAATGCCACGAACACAGGTGACCATCTACTGTTTCTGTGCCTTCCCTTGGTGCAGTGGTTTTCAGCCTTTATTCTTTGATTCAACTGCAGATGAAGCATATGTTTTGAAACCCTTTGAAACCCATTCGGGTATGTTAAGCCCCCTTATGGGGAGTACTTTGACTTGGATTGTTAGTTCTTTAAAAGACAGAAGTTACCAATGTGTCTGTGTTTTTTTTTTTTTTTTTTTTAAAAAAAGGTTGTGAAGTCATTAGTCTTGATGTGATCTGGACACCTCAGGTTTTTTGGGGAACCTTGCTTCCTCTTGGATAGTTGTTTGTCTTACCCTTGTTTTGCATTACCCTTTCTATCAGGGATTCAAAGTAATAAGTTATTTTTGTCTGAGTTGTCCAAGTAGTGCATTTCACATTTAACAGGAAATCTTCAGTGTATTTTCAGGGTTACTGTTAACTGTATGTTTAAGTTTTGTGAAGCCCATGCTACAGATTTTAATGATTGTAAAACATTCGTAAATAATTGTGCCAAACTCAGTGAATCAAAGTACATTATTTTGCAACTGTTGTTGGAAGTTTATAGTGTAGTAATACAAGTGGTTTTGTTAACTGTATGTTTGTGTTTTCCCATTCTTCACATTTAGGGGTAATTTAAAGGCCTGCTGTTACCAGAACAGTGCATGGCTGTGTTAGAAACTCAAGATATCAAAATGCTGTGCTGCAAAGTTGTCTCTGCATATACAAAAATATCATGAGACCTTTGAAAATGCACAAGGGGTTGAATTGTCTGCTGGTCTTTGAGACAGTGTGATGTCTTTCAAAAAACACTGGAGGATGGGAGTAGAATACCTTCCCTTTAGATAGCTTTTATTTATCAAGGAGACTTTCAAAATTGTTTTATTGTGCTTCCAAGAAAAGCTTGTTTGTGTCCATCTTTTTGCAGTGCTGTCCTTAGCCCCCACACAGTTTCAACAAATAAAAATGGCAATTTAACTTTTTGTTAATCTGTAGCTTTGTTGTTACTCAAAGCTATCAACTTCACACCTAAGATTAGTTTTAATCCTTTCTATCAACTGTTAACTCAAGCTGAAGCTCAACATGGCCTTTATTTCCTTTAAATCTTTGCCTCTGTGTCCATTCTTGGCTATGAACACAATCAGTGGCTAGTCTGTTATTAAGACAGATAAGCTTGGTAATCATTTCTGTTGCTCAAACAACTCTGTTCTCTCTTTAATGCAGCTGAAATTCAAAGCTTTCATCGTTGCATGTTGAATGATACATGAGTGGGTACAAGTATGGAGTATGATACCACTACAAAGATAATTCTCCCTGTCCTTTATATTCCTTCAAATTCCATTAGGAAAAAAAAAAAATCACACACAAAAAAATTATTGGACTTTCAGAGAGCTACCGCTAGATCTACAGTTTTCATTTGTTTTCTAGAGTTTGGCTTTGCTTCCACTGAACCATTAATGCCAGTGCTTCTCTTGCCCCTGTGTTTATTTTGCTAGCAGTCACAACTGTGCTTATCTTTTTTTTTTTTTTTTTTTTGTGAAGCGTACCCTGTAAATATCAACAGCTCTACCCTAGCTGCTTTGAAACTTATTTCTTTGACCTACAAGTAAATTGGTATGGTCTAGGAATTGACTTCCTGACACTCTCTCTGGCTGTCATGTTTACCAATGCTTTGTGTTTCCCTGTTTTCCCTGTTTGCTTATAAATTGTATTGGCATTCATTTGGGAAACACTGGGGTTTTTTTTTATGGCGAGAAACTGATGTTCCTCACATGTTAAACTCCCAGATTAAACTGCCTTGCTTTTACTGTTAGGTTGCTGTGTTTTCTCTGACAGTTTTTCTGTAGGCATGGAGGGGATAGAAACTGAAATGCACTTGTTGCACCTTTCCTGTCCTACTTGTTTGTTTCTTTTTCCCTAGTTACAGATATTGCTGGAGAAAAAAAATGCTGGAGAATCTTTCACCTCTTTAAATCAAACTTGTTTTCTCAACTTGTAGTTGAACTGACTTATGCTTACCTCATGCATGAAATTGGCATGTTTAAATCATAAGACAACATGCTGTTCTGCTTCCCCATGGTTTGATATGTTGGCATCTTATCTGTAAGAAGGTGGATACCAGATAAGCAGATAAAAGAAAGTGTGCTTTTTGGTGAAGGAGAAAGAAGAAAATTAAATCTTCAGAAAGTTTGGAATAATGCAGTCAATTTTCTTACTGGTTTTACTAACACTTGAATAAAAAATACAAAACGTTACTAAGAGGATTATGAAATGGAGAGCAATCTGTTCAGAAATGAAGACATAATTGTACTTTCTGTTTAAGAAACTATGGTGAAGTCCAAAAAGTTTAGGACTGTCTATTTTATAATGTTGAATGTTTTACTGAAACAATGTAGATTACATACTGGTATAGTACTAGCTACTGATTTAAGAGTAGAAAGAAATGGAAGTGGTAGAAAACTACTGTGGACTGAAAACTGAGACATGTTTGTTTGCATTATATGAGTTTGGTATCATTACCATAAAGTTAACATAGTCAAGACTTTTTTTTCTTGCAGGATGGTAAACATTTTTAAATTATGTAAATGGTCATTGGTTGCTGTTCTTCATGCTTTAGATTTCCTCTGCAGTAAATACATATGCTATTACATAACCACCACTTGTAAGTGTTGGCTTCTTACATATTTTATAGAAATAGTCTGACCTTAATGACTGAAAAGCAAACATGTGCTTTGCTTACTGCAGGTAAGGGGGTGTGTTTGCAAGGATGTTCCTCATAAAAATTTATAGGGAAAAAAACCAACCAAACAAACAAATTTCCCTTTCTCTTTACAGGTTTGCACTTTGTTTTAGACATCTGGGACCATGTTCTATGCCCACTTTGTCCTGAGCAAGCGTGGGCCGCTGGCCAAAATCTGGCTGGCGGCCCACTGGGATAAGAAGCTAACCAAAGCCCATGTTTTTGAATGTAATCTGGAGAGCAGCGTGGAGAGTATCATTTCACCAAAGGTATCTATCTGACACTGATGTAATGTTATCTTGTAGTGAAAAGAAACTGTGTACAGGTGGTAGTTGCTATTTAGGTCACTGAAACAAATAAAATTCTTAATGTTGCTGTTCTGAAGAGTAGAAAGGTCTGTTCAGATGTGAAGTACCCTATTGACTGATTCTGAAGAATATTTTCTTCTAATTTTTCTAATGCTAAAGTATCATGCAATTTTGTTACAGAATGTTTTGCTTTGTATGAATGGATGACTCCTATCTCAGTGTACCATACATCATTTAAAAGCAAATGTTTGGAAGAGAGGAAAGCCCAGGCTTTCCAAGAAGTAACTTTTAAAGGCCTTATGATGACAGTCTTTCAGTACTGTTGTTACTGGGAGCTGTAGAAATAATACTTAAGATATTCTTGTTTATACTTGTGACCGAAGTTCAAAGCATGCTTCTGCTTAGCTACAGCAAAAAGATCTGAAGTATCAAGGTAGCTTCTAATGTTACTGGCTGCATGAGGATAGTTTTCTGTATAATAAAAATACTACACTCTAGTGTAAAAACATTACATTTGAAGCTTTTAGTCTCTGCTTTTCTGGGAAGTAAATAGAGAGAAACAAAACTGAAAGAACATAACACTTCTGGATGGCTGTTGTGAAACTAAAGGAAATTTTGAGGAACTCGGGTTTTTAGATGTTTTTTTTCCTTCTACTACTTGTGAAAATGAAATTTTTCATTTAAGAACTAGCGTACTAATATGGTTGTGACTTGTCATTTAACAGATGTCAGTGTCTTAGAAGAAAAGGAACTATTTGAAAAAGAAAGATATTTTTATCTCTTCTTTTGGTTGATACAAATATAACAGTGTTTCTATAATGCTAGTCTGGATTTTGGAAGAGCTGCCTAAGTATAAGCAAAAAATGTATAGTACAATCACAGAGAAACTTACTGTTCCAAATCAGTGATTTGCTTCAGTGTCAGCTCTGGAGTGATTTATAAAGAAGATAATATTCATGGACTCACTAGTGACCTGCAACGTTCTTTTCGAAAAAGGAGAAATTTGTAGGCACTCTTTCCTATATTTAAATTTGTGTAACACTTTCGTCAGCTGGAATATTAGGAAGACATTGTATGCAATAAAATTTGAATTCTTAGAGTTTGAGGTTAAACTGTGCATGGCTTAGTCTCTCTGGGAGACAATTATTCCATGTACCCTTCAACACAAGTCTCATGCTCTTTCAGACTAAAGTACTTAAGAAGAGTCCTTCCCTCTGATATTTTTTTATCAGTTTTCTGTTCCAACAGCAGATACTTGATTACATAGTAAAGCAGCGAGGTTAGAGAGAAGAGGAACTTAAACTTGTCTTAATGTGGTAGTGCTTGTTTATGGACATTCCACATTTCAGTATTATTCTCTGATTTTCTCCTTAACTGGAGGACAGAAAATGAAGAGGTAACAAGTAACATTTTTAAACCAAATTTTACTTAACCAAATCGTAATTTATGGTTGTCCAAATTTTTGTATTTTTAACTTTCTTTCTACAATTAAAGTAACAAATATGTCAGAAAAAGATATGGTAAAATGGGCTTTGTCTTGTCATCTTTTTTTTTTTCACTAGACACAGCAGTGTTTGGGAATTCCTGGAGTGAGCTGCTGTTAATTTACTGATATTTGCCAGGTCATTCACAAATTATATGTAGAGTATAATCTTGAACTGTAGACTTTGCATTCTTTCTTCAGTTTTTCTGTACTTGTTTTGGTTATTTGATGTTATGCAAAACTCATGCAAAGCTGACAAATTTCATTAAAGGAAAAAAGAAAAATAAGGCTACATCTGATTCACTGATTGTGCAATATGTTTTTAGGTGAAGATGGCACTTCGAACCTCAGGACATCTTTTACTAGGTGTTGTTAGAATCTACCACAGGAAAGCAAAATATCTTCTTGCAGACTGTAACGAGGCTTTCATTAAGATTAAGATGGCTTTTCGTCCAGGTATCTGTTTTTAAGCACCCTCTGAAAAGTTACATTGTTATATAATGATGTTTATTAAGAAGGTATACAGTTCTACCTTCCTATATGTGTAGAAGAATTGCATAAAGTTATAAAGGTTTATAAGAGAAGTTATTTTCTTTAGTGCAGCTTCAGGCTGCCTCTGTGACTGTGTTGTATGCTGAAAAACATATTTGAATTGATATCTGAACAGAAACTTTTCCTATGAGTGCTGATTCGGTAAAATCTCAATTAAGCTTTTCACTGCTGTTGGTGTATGCTTAATGGAAATGTGTTACATGGTTTTTTACCTTCTGTCACAAGTCTGAAAAAGGCCGGTTTCATGTTCTGAATAGAAGCACAGAAGGGAGCTTGTTTCCATCAGGGGTAAAGATTGCCTTGCCCCGAGTTACAAAGGAAACATAGAAGTAGGCTGTTTTTTTACTACTTTCACATTTTTGTGTCTGGAAATAATATGAACTGTAATGTGTGCAACAAAGATATTTTCCCTTTAGTATGTGTGACACATACCTTCCCCCTCTATTGTTGCTTACTCTTAAGACTTTTCCATGAAGATTGGTAACCATGTTAATATCTGAAATTACTTTCCATCCAGCAATTAATTACTTGGTTTATGCACTGTTGGTACTTTTCTTTAATTCTGACCTGGTAAACTTTTTTCCATCTGGAGTGTAGCTGTGGCAGTGATGCTACTGGATACTCATAGCTGCTGAGTCATATTCCAGCTTTTTAAGTTTGTGTGTGTAATAGATTTAAAAGCTGAACTTAAGACTTTTTATTTTTTTAAAAAGGCAACTCTTGAAAGTCAGCACAACAGTAAGTCTGAGAAAAGTTAAGGTATATAATGCCCTTATCTTAATTTCCTGGTCTACATACTGTGATTCAGGCATTGAACTTCATGTAGCTTTCAGTAGCAATTTGTTGACTGTTGCGAATCTTTAGTTTATTGTTGTGTTTAACTTCCCTGGGTGATGAGAACACATAAATTTATCTTAATTTCACACGGCAATCTATTTTCCCAATTTTCCCACTCCTAACAGAGTGCATATAGAAGGTGAAGTGCCTTAAAATAAGATTTATAAGAAGTGGCACTCTGTCCTGAAGCAAGTTGAGACACTTGTCTTTGTTCTCAGTTTATCAGCTTTGTGGTTTAGGCATCGGCTTGATCTTCTCTGCTCTGAGAATCATTTACATGTGTTAAGCAGCCAACAGGTAAAAATATTGGGTAGCCCTGAATGGATGAGCTAGGTTTCTTCATTCCTAGCCAAGTACCAAGATGAGTAAAGTACAGGCTCATGTTTTTTCCTGGTCTCTGGACAGTGGTTCTTTGATTATCCATTGCAAAGGGGAACACAGTGGGCAGAGTGTTTCTGAACCTGAGAATTGCCAGTGTTGTGTGGGTTAGAAGGCAGAACACAGAGCTCAGATCTTCTGCAAGTTACAGAAGGAATTGAACCTGCAGTTCCCTTGGACTTTCAAGTGTCCTGACCTCTAAGCCTTTGAAGAAAAGAGAGGCACCAACCACTGGCACTGTTTTTGTGGGATGCCTAATCTGATAGTCATGCTCTGAAAATGCCCACTGAATAGCAGATTAAGCATTTTGGGAGGCTAAGAAGAGGTATGTATGTGGTTTAGGTAATCCAGCTCTTTTAAATGCAGAAGCCTAAGAGTTTGTGTGGCCCAAGTACAGTCAGTACTGTGCTGGGACTTACAGAGCTAATTGAACTGACTAAATGACCAGTAGCAAAGTAGTCATAGTGTGTTGCCACTGCTTTACCCAAACCAGGCTGCTGTGTTGCTGCTGCTTTATCCAAACAAAAATATCAGACTAACTAGCTCATCTGGAGCATCATGGTAAAAGGATTTTGTAGCATGTACCTGCATAAGTGTTGTAATGCCGTACAGTACCTGTGTTAGCTGCACAGCTCTGCATTGTGCTGCACAAACGTTATCAAGTGATTTGATGCTTCCAGGGTTATACAAAATAGTACAAGGGTTTGAGGGGCATATATTTTGAATTTAGACTGAATCTCAATGCTAACGTGATCTGAGGTTTCTTCATAGGTGTCTAGCATCTGTTCAATTCAACGATTTAAAGACAAGAAGCTCATGCAGACAGAACAACGCTGAAGGCACAGGGGAAAAATGTTGTCCTTGTAAGGAATGGGAACTCATATCTGAGTGTTCTTCTCTGCAGGGGTTGTCGATTTGCCTGAGGAAAACAGAGAGGCTGCTTACAATGCTATTACCTTACCTGAGGAATTCCATGATTTTGACCAACCACTTCCTGATCTAGAGTAAGCTTGGCTTGTTTTTTTATTGCTGTGCAAATGATATTTGGTTTTAGTTGAGGAGAGCATGGTTTTAAACAGCAAACTTACTGATGAATTAAAAAAAAAAAGTCTGGAGGTAACTTAAGTCTTTTAATATTCCAACCATCTTTTGTATTGATTTTAAGTTCATAGTAGCATGTAATTTTAACTGGTTAAAGCTGTCCTTACAGAAGCTTTTGAAAAACTCAGATATGTATTATCATTTTCTTTCTTCTTCTGTGCAAGGCACTGTACATCATATATGTTCTCAAGATTAGTTTTATGGAAATGTCCTTGTTAAGCTTCCATAGTAGCACTTTTAATTCTTAAAACCTTATAATACTAATGGGTTACTTGTAAACATAATAAGTATACAGCCTGAATAGTTCTTAGTCTTTAAAAAAATTGATGTTACCCTTTAGGATTATTCATAATGGAATTTCTGGGATACAGTTTGCTTTACTCTGTTCTATTTGGTTTATATTTGAATTAGAATATATATTAATTTGAAGCTGCATAAAATTCTGTATTCCTCTAAGAAACGTATCTTAACAACCCACAAAGAGTGTTAACTTGGTACTCTTACTAGATATGCTTTTTGATAAATTATATTAATAACCTTTAAAGTTGAAGAGGGGGAAGTTTTTTCTTGCTTATTTATTTGGCCTTTAAAATTAGTGACCCCAACATTGCAAGGAGTAAGAGAGGTTACTGATATATTTCCCAGAAGCTAACAGAATTTAAATGATAGGTTTTAACAGTAAATGGTCTTACTGTTTTAAGTAGTGTTTTCTATTCTGTATTCACCATCAGCTTTTTCATTAATTAAGTGTATAGTGTACTTTCTATGAACTAATTTCACATTTATCTAAGTAGGCTTTATCAGTTGTTAATAATTTTTTTTTAAAAGGAGATTTTTAATAATTGCCTTCTGTTTGTTTAAGTGATATTGATGTGGCCCAGCAGTTCAGTTTGAACCAGAGTAGAGTGGAAGAAATTACAATGAGAGAAGAAGTAGGCAACATCAGTATCCTCCAGGATAATGACTTTGGTAAAAATCTTGTGTATTATTATGTGTTACTTAAGCTAGTTTAGTAACTGTAAAATTATGGTTTTGGAATTACTACGGATTTCCCACTAAGTACAAAACAAATTAGATCAAACATGCTATGTTCCTGTATATTTGATTTTTAATTTGTACACATCAGTTTTTCCAAAAAAAACCTGTCCTCTAATATTCAACAAGCTTCAAGCTGCCTATGTAAAGCTGAAGAATATTCAGTCAGGTTAATTAGTGAAGTACTATGTCAATTGTAATTTTCAAAATGTGATGTCAATATGAAATCAGCTGTTGTGTTAGTCATAGGCATGTTTTCAGTCAGAAATGGTTATGAGATTTCTAAAGCTGAAGCAGACAGTGGTGACTAGTTTACTTTCAGTACCTTTTCAAGGACAGCGTTCTTAGGTATGAATCAAAGCCTGAAGACAGTTGTATTTCAGTATTTTATTTCCAAACTACAATAATATAATCCATAATTTAGTAATCTTATTGAAAGTATAATCTAGGTATTGATGGTGGTGGTGATTTGGTATTGGTTTGCTCTCTGTACATGAAGCCCAACCTTGAGGCATAAGGTACAACTCTTTTGAATTCTTTGGAATTCTTCGGTTTCAATGCAACTAAAATTTAGTGGGATCTTGCTAAAATCAATTGAAGTAACTATAATGAAATGCTTTGAAGAAGATATGGTTATTTCCATAATTGTTTGCACAGTATTTTTGCTATCATATTGCTGGACATAATTCCTTACATCTTGTCATTAACTCTAATTAAGATAACTTGAAACAAAGTTAGGTCTTACATTTGGGCCTTTGATTGATTAATTAGATCTCATGCATCTTGGTTCTTGCAGGTGACTTTGGAATGGATGATCGTGAAATGATGAGAGAAGGTAGTGCATTTGAGGATGACATGCTAGTGAGTACCAGTGCTTCCAATCTCTTACTGGAGCCTGAACAGAGCACCAGTCATCTCAATGAGAAATCTAATCACCTGGAATATGAAGACCAGTACAAAGATGATAATTTTGGAGAAGGAAATGATGGTGGGATATTGGGTACGTTTGAGAAATTTGTTTTTCCTCTGTCCTACCTAGCTTCTTCAATAATTAGTTCTTGGGGGGGTGTGTGTGTATGTGGAGAGGAGATTGTTTCCTTTGTGGCCAAGGTCCCTCTCTGAATTATGCCTTCAACAGTGGAATTCTGGTTTGTGAGTGCTACAGCAATATAGATGATGAGTAGTATGTTAATTGTTGGCGTATTGGAGATGAAGTAAAATTAAATCAGAGTTTTTCTGTTCTATACATAATGTTCTTTAGAGAAAAATCAATATGCATCTCTTGTTCTTTGACTCCTTCCAAGGGTTTGTTAATATATTGAGAATTGTATTGAGTGCTTCTCTGTGAAGCACTAAGAAACGTAGTAAGATGCAAATATGTGGCAAGCGTATTGTAATAAAGGTTATCTGTAAGCTCAAGATTTGAGCTGAAACGCACATTGAAAAAGCACTCCCAACTGCTTTTGTGTCAGCATTGGAAGTATAGGTTTCTCTAACCTTTGCACTATCTTTGTGTTGTCATAAATTTGTTTGTACTTGTTTCATGAATTTGTGGATGCAAAAATGATTCTTTCAAATGGTTGTTTCAGATGACAAACTTCTTAGTAATAATGATGGTGGTATTTTTGATGACCCACCTGCACTCTCAGAAAGTGGAGTAATGATGCCAGAGCAGCCTCCCCATGATGATATGGATGATGATGATAATGTATCAAGTGAGTATTATCTAGGGCTAGATATAGAATTACTTGTTTTCAACTAGTTTTAATTGGGATGCTAGTTCCTTAAAAGCATCTTGAACTCAGAAATATGAAATGTGCTAAATGATTTTAAGGTGTGGAAGAGGGGATGGGGAAGGGTTAGCACAGTTTCTTAATGTTTTGACATTATGCAAGATACTCGTTGTAATTGGCAGTGGGTGGACCAGACAGCCCGGACTCGGTAGATCCAGTTGAACCGTTACCAACTATGACTGATCAGACAACGCTTGTTCCCAATGAAGAGGAAGCTTTTGCTTTGGAGCCTATTGACATAACTGGTGAGTAAGCTATTTGGAACTGTTTTAGTTGGCTCATCAGAGACCACTTTAGCTCAATGGAGTAGAAATGTATGTTTAGCACTGCTGCTTGACTACTTCTTAGCTGGAAGAGAAACCAGGGACTAAGTGCTAAATTCCTTTTATTCTAACAGTAGCCTTCCAGTATTTTCCAGGTAGATAGCTTACATGGATGGTCTTGGAGGATACTAGTTTTTAGTTTCTGCAGTCAGTATGTATAGCGGCATGATGCTCTAGCTTTTGATAAACATGCTAGTTAAAATACAGTGAGTTGAAAGAGAACTCATCATGTCTTTAATACGGTATCTGTAGTGCAGCACAGCTCTTGATATGCTATGTTTGATGACCAGGAGTGAGTGTTTACACTGAGAATGAGTGCTCTTCTAGTGATTCATAGCTTTAATGAATTGCTGAATTCAGGAGATGCATCTTTGTATTCTATTAAATAGTGAAATTCCTTGTCTTTTTCTCTAATGAAAGACACTTTCTTATTCTAACTGGTACTGTGTTTGGCTCGTTATAAACAGATCCCTGCTTTATTTAAAAAAATAAGATCTGGAAAAAATGTAGTTTGTCCTGTGTTTTCAGACTGAACTCCAGGCCCTGATTTACTGCTTGGCCCATTAAAAAGCCCTAGCGCTGCCCTCTGGTGGCAAGCTAGCAACAGAGGTCCCAGCTGGTCAGCTGGGACCAGCAAAGCCAGCGTTTGCCAGAGCTTCAGGGTCTGCTGCAGAGTGCCAGCCTGTAAGCAATTTACAGTAAAGTCATTCTAGAGCAGGATGAGAGGTACAGGTAAGATAACCACCCACATTAACACTACCAAAGCTCGATAGAGCTTAGGGGAAAAACTTGGTGTGGTATTTTGACTCTTTGGTCAGAGGGACCTTACCTTTCAGGGGTTTGCTTCTGAAGAACACCAGCCTGACAAGAAAGCCATGAGGGAGGGGCGGCATGTGCAGCTGAGGACATTGAGACGTAGGTAGATTCAGTAGAACTACAAGTATACACAGAAGAATTTGTAGGTTATGGGACAGCATTCACAGTGTTTGACTTTTCGTAGTGTTTATAGCTTTTCATTCCTTCACCCAAAGCTAACATTGCCTTAGATTATCAAGGCAGCTTTACACGTGGGCAAATCAGGCCTATAGAGAACCTGCAAGATTCTTCTACAGTGTGGTATCTGTTTGAGCTAACCTTTGTTACTTGCTAAAAATCTCAACAGTCAAGGAAACCAAAGCAAAGAGGAAGAGAAAGCTGATTGTGGACAGTGTGAAAGAACTGGATAGCAAGACTATTCGAGCCCAATTAAGTGACTACTCTGATATTGTTACTACTTTGGACTTGGCACCTCCTACTAAGAAACTGATGATGTGGAAAGAAACTGGTGGAGTTGAAAAGCTTTTCTCTCTGCCTGCACAGCCTTTGTGGAATAACAGGCTACTGAAGGTAATGTTTTTGTGCAGGTTCCTTTCTAAACGGACTATATTCAGGATTGTGCCTCATATAGTAAATATCGGCATATGAATAGTGATACAGTGATAGCAGTATTCAGCATTTTTAAATAAAAAACTAATTAAAGCAAGATCATGCCAATGCTTAAAATATTTATCAGTTACAGAAATAAATGATTTTTTTTAAATGTTACTACTGTTGGAGGGGAGCTTAAAAGACAGGAAAGGAAGATGGCCCATAATTACTTGATCTGAAATGAAATTAAGGACACTGAGAACTACAATAGTGACTAATGTAACCTTTCTCCTGTAGCTCTTCACTCGTTGTCTTACACCCCTGGTACCAGAAGACCTAAGAAAGAGGAGGAAAGGTGGAGAAGCTGACAACCTTGATGAGTTCCTTAAAGACTTCGAAAACCCAGAGGTTCCCAGAGAGGAGCAGCAGCAACAACAGCAACAGCAGCAACGAGATGTCATTGGTTTGTGTCTTGGCGATAATGTTCTGCTTTCCCTCAGAGCTTATCTTTCTCTTTTGTGCTTTATATTAAGTCACCAAAGTTATGAATGAATCAAAGAGCTTTGCAGTGGTTGTTTAGCTTGATATGCAATCTGTGCTTTTTTCTTCTAGAAGAAGATGACACTTAGAGATTCAGTTTGATCCAGTGGATTAAATGGGTATTAAATGAGGTTGTACCAATTCTATTTAAGTCACTGCAAAAGCTATGCAGCCTGTTAAGAGTGCTCATTCTAAAAGCAGATCAGACTTAATAATGTAATTTGAAACTGTACCAAACTATCTAAAACTGAGTTTGTTGTGAAATCTAGATGAACCTATTCTGGAAGAACCAAGTCGTTTACAAGAATCAATGATGGAAGGCAGCAGAACCAACCTGGATGAATCTGTTATGCCACCCCCTCCACCTCAGACAGGTGTTAAACGTAAACTGCAGCAAGTAGAACCAGAGCCAGTGTTACCTGTGAGTAAGATAATTACTTTTTTTTTTTTGAGAATGGGAAGTGTGTAGTGTCTTTGAGCAGGAAGTGACACAGATTTGAGGCACTAACTTTCTGTAGTGTTCTGAGATATGGTGGAGTAGTATCAGAATCTCTGTCCCTGGGCAGTCTTTATGGTGTTTTTCTTAAGTGGAAAGCTTACTGAAACATTTAAAATGCAGGTAAGATAAAGAAATGGCACTGTTTTATCTAGAAAAAGCATTCAAAGAGTAAAGTTTATTGCTTACAAAGTTCTTGAGTTGCAAGTTCTTCTGCTTGGCAAGTGTATATGAACAGCTTTCACTGATGAAGAAAGGACTATTCTAGCAGCACAAACTTCCTTTTTTAAGATAGTCCAAGTGTTCCAGGATTAGGGGTTCAAAGAAAAACTTTGATCTTCAGGAGAGATTTCCTAGTTGGTTTATGAGTAGACTTGGAAACTAGCTCATATCTACTTCTTCTGCAAAAGATGCAGTGTGAAAGGAAACCGTGTTTGTGTGGGGGGAGAGAAAATGGGCAAAATAAAAGGTGTATTCTTTTCCTGAACACTTACCTGCTGAGAACAGTCCTGGTTTATGCTATCTTTCTCATATTTGTGCAGTTCTTTAACCCCACTTTTCACGTGTTTCTTGGCTAACATTGTTCACTGTAGAATGACTGTTAGATGTTACATTATCTTATTAAAAAGGATGGCTGCTGCTGCTCCTCTTGGCCATGTCATCAATGACATGGTGAAGTTGGCATTGACTGTACTTTGTGCTGAAGTCAATGCTGTTGGCGTGTGCTGGGAATTCTTTGATCATACCCACCAGATCAGGACTCTAGCAACATACCTGTAGTGATACCTGCTGTATGACTCTCAAACAGAAATTGTTTTGAGCTATTTTAGGTTATGTGTGGAAGCAGTTTCAGGTGTCAAGGTAACTTTACTGGCAAACACTTAACTGTGTATATATTCGGGGGAGAGTACTGTATATTCTATTAAAAACTGACTACATAAATCCTGTTAAACTGCTTTTCTGGATTTTCCTCTTGATATAAATATCTCATGAGAATGATACTTGAGCACCAAAGTCATTCCTGCATTTTTGGAAACTTTACAAAGTGCCTACATCTTAATGCCTTCGTCCCTGCATTGCAAACAACATTTTGATATTTCGAAGATGTTTTGTTCCAGTGGGTTAAAGTGTGTTTATGTAGCACTATGTCTGATTGTGTGGGATTTTAAAGTTGCATGTTGTGATCCAAGAAATAAGATCAGTAGTTTGAATGGTAGACTAAGTGAAGTTATTGGAAAGCCTTTTTCCTTATAGTGGTATCATAATTTCTGGTTTGAGCACTATCTAAAGGATTAAAAATACATGTATGGACAGCAAAACAAAACAAATTGCTTTTCATTTTTGAAAAATGAAAAGTTCTGACAGATGGCTAAGACTTAGAGACTTGGATTTTGTGAAACTGGTTTGTAGCATCATTGTTCTGTTGTAAGACCACTGATTAAAACAATGCTGTGCGTTTAACTGTATCGTGTACTCTCAAAGCATCCACCATCACAACAGCTGGAAATACCACCTGTAGAAATGCCTCCAGAGGAGCCCCAAAACATCTGCCAGCTAATACCAGAGCTAGAACTTCTACCAGAAAAAGAGAAGGAGAAGGAAAAGGAGAAAGAGGAGGAGGAAGAAGAGGAGGTAAGAACTCTATAGAAAGGTTTTGTGTGTTCCCCAGCACTGTTTGACTTCGGATTCATTAAATGGCTTAAGAAATAAATCTTCAGTCCTTGCTTGGGAAATGATAACCCTTGGAAACATAGATTTTAAAATTATTCCATGACCATTTTCCATTATTTATATTATTCCATTTTATAGATTGTGTATACATTCTGCATTGATTTAGAGGGTTCTGTTCTCACACGTGGTTGGATTAAACCACTGTATTTATGATGCCTTATGTAAGAAGTTTTGAACTTGATTTTATGGTTCTATTTTTAAGTAGTTCATGACACTTCATAAAAATAGGTTTTTGTAAGAAAATGGTCCACATCCTAAAATGTGATCTGAAGTAGTTTCTTTGCTAAGATATTTAATATTTTGAGGATATCAAAACAAACTTAATTGTTTCTTCTTATTTTACACCCAGGTGCATAATATTAAATTAGTTTTATAAAATCGGTTTTATTGTTGGAAAAAGAATGTATCTGGACATGTGAAGTTTCTTTCTGTAACAAGTCACATGTACAAAGAAATGTGATTTACTTTAGTAATGTAAAAAACTGTTAGAATAGAATGTTTTCAGTTGGAAGGTAACTACAACAATTATCTATTCCAGCTGCCTGACCACTTCAGGATGTTGCTCGATGCAGATAAATGTTACTTTAAAAGTAGTACAATGAAGAGGAAAGAAATACATGCTGATTTAATTTTGAGAAATAAAAAAAATGGCCAAGCAGTTTTTGTGCACAGCTTGAGGTTCTTGAGTTAAGACTGGAAACAAAGCAGATACTACTTGCATGTATCACTTCCATGGTGATTTTCTTAATTCCTGATTTGAAATAAAGTCCTTATTTTAAAAGCCATATATAACGCACCTTCTATAAACAAGTACTGTTCTGTGTAGGTGAATGCTTCATAGGACATGGGGAGCTGAGTGGTTACAGCTGGCCTTCACAGCTTTTAGCAGCAGCCTGTTCTTCTTTTCAATAGTTCTGTTGCCACAGTCAAATGAGAACGTCTGAATTTATTAATGTTTGCAAAATAAAAACATTGTTGATACCGTGTTCAGTACTAGCAATCTTAGATTAGGCTGAAGTGTCTCATTCAGCTGTCATGACTGAACTTCTTTGTTTGACTAATTGTCAGCATAACATTTTGAGATATAATCATAGTGGCAAACAACCTTACTGTGGTACCTCAGCTTACATGTGTGTCTTTCTCTGTCCCGCTTCCTGCTTCTCCTAGAGGTATCCTGTGACTCAAGTTGTTTAAACCTTCTGGCTTGATCAAAAGAAAAAGCTGCAGTGATGCCTAGAAATACCTCTTTCATTTCATAACTCAGTGGATGAAAAAAATTATTATTTTGTAAGTGTGAATTTTGTATGCTTGCAGGAAGAAGATGGCACAGGGGGTGATCAGGATCAAGAAGAAAGGAGATGGAACAAGAGGACTCAACAAATGCTTCATGGACTTCAGGTACACATGATAATTTGCTTTCTCTTAAAGTAAATTTTGCGTGAGTCCACCTATACTTTTGACCTGAGTTAAAAGGTTAAGAGCGAGCTTTCTTTGCAGTAGATGTTACAAACTTAAAATATCAGTTCAGTCTTGGGGAGGGTGAGGGGAAATGCTTGCAGCTGATTAAATCATAATATTATTGTTACTTTTTTCCAAAGAACATTTGAAGTAAAATTTTTTGCTTAAGTGTTTTTCAGACTTTATGTCCATACTTGGTGTGTAAGACTTCCAGAAATTAAAATTTTAAAATAATTGGGTTTGTGACTTTAATGAAACCTTAGCACCTCTGACTTTGTGCTATGTGACCCTAGGCAAACCTCATGAAAGTCTAGGGATAAAACCATTTTATTTGATGTTTACTCCTGGCTAGGCTAGTTTGAAAACTTCCACGCTATGATAAGCTGAATCTATAACAACTGTGGGAATCTGACCTTGGCTGAGTTGCAGCATTAATTTCAGCATGTGACTTCAGTTTGTACAGACAGATAATCTTTATAGGGTGGATTCTTGGTTGCTAGAACTAAAGAGCTTTTTTTCTGATAACTGAACACCCCTAGTATACACTTGACCTTAGGTGCAAACTGCTGTCTGTTTGCCTGTAAGTCTCTATGTGTACTTCATATGTTCTTGGACTACCTTTACCTTTCAGCCTAGTTTGCAATTCCTACCCCTTTGTTCCACTAAACATTTTGGCAACTCCTGAGATTCTAATGTCACTGAAGTGTTTCAGTTCCATCTCTCTAAGCTGTTTCTGTTCTCCAAAGTAATCCTCACTTTTTTTGTAAAATTGATAAGCTCCATCTCTGCTGTTGAAAGCTCATTGTCATTATTGTATCTCTGAACTTGCAGTGAAGTGGATGGGGGGGCTGGAATGCTGCTGACTTTTTAGTAGACTGAAATGTAGTAGTACTTCATATCCTATTGACTTTCTTGAAAGTATAATAAAATCAAGCAAAAATTTTACATTTTTAGAAAATGTTAATAGAGTTATATTGTAAGAATTACTTGCTTACATCTCTAAACAATGAAATCTTAATTTTAAACTCCTAAATAAGCCTTTATGGCACTTAAATACACTTCAGTTTAGTTCAGATTACATTGTAAACTAATGTGGCTTAAGTTATTTTTTTTTTCCACACCTGCAAGAATTCCACTAGTTTAAGAAAGATTGTTTTAAACTGTTGTTGTGCCCCAAACAGCTGCTTGTTCACTAACGCCTGGTGGGATGAGAGTGAGAATTGGAAGGGTAAAATCAAGAAAACATGTGGGTTGAGATTGCTTTGAACAGCTTAATATCAAAAGCTCTGTGTGTGCAAGCAAAACAAAATAAGGAATTCATTCACTGCTTCCCAACACCAGGCAGACATTTAGCTGTTTCCAGGAAAGTAGGGCTCCTTTACATGTCATGTAGTGGTTACTTGGAAAGACAAATGCCATAACCCTGAGTGTGCACACACACACCCTCTTCTTTCCCTCAGCTTTTATTGCTGAGCATAACATCATATGGTATGGAATATCTTTTTGGTCGTCTGGGGTCAGTTGTCCCAGCTGTGTCCCCTCCCAACTTCTTGTGCACCCCCAGCCTGCTTGCTCCAAAAGAAAAATATTTCCTTCCATCCAAAGCGTAGCACCCTATGGCCACTGTAAAGAAAGTTAACTCTGTCCCAGCCCAAACCAGTACAACTGTTGCTTAAAAGTGATTTTTAAAATATACAGATGTTTAGTCAGTAATGTTGTGTAATGTTTTCCTCTCTGAATGTTTCATCACAGTTTCTGAAAAGAGCTTCAGAATTCTCTTTGGACCATGTCTAGCTTTTTTTTCATTTCTTTCTTCCATGTGCTTAAGAGCATCATACTGGATGGCTGAAACGTTAAGTCTGTAATGAGATTTGAAGTTAAGATCTGTTTAATATAAAGTAATTTAGTTTGGCCAGTCTAATATCTTTTCATCTAGTAGATATTCCAGAGCAAACGGTTCTGTTTTAAATTGAAGACGTCAGTTGTTGTTCTAGCCAGCAAACAGATGTATTTTCCTGAATTTTTTATATTCTGGCCAAGACTTTGAAAAAAAAATGTAAGTGACTTTGGGTACTTAGTTTCAGACAAACAGAGGAGTTTTAGAAATAAACGGGCTTTCAACTTGGGAAAATGATACATTTTTTAAAAGAGCCTTAGAGCTTGAAATTTTGTTTTAAACAATAGATCAAGATTATTTTTGGAGTTATTTTTACTTTGAGAAATAAACCAGGATTTTTTATTCCTATTTAAAATAATTTCTTCTCTAGTCAAAAAAGACTGGGTAGCTATTGGTGCCAAAAGAAAATCTTGTGCTGTACTACAGTGTTTCTGGCATAAGTTGCACAGATTCAAGACTGATTTTTCACATATCGCTGGGAAGCCTACTTGGTTTCATTTAGATAAAGATCCATATAGAAATATTCATGTACATGTTGCAATGTCCCCATTCAATGTCGAGTCCTTCCTAATCCCTCACAGTGTCCTGGGGGTGACAACAAACAGAACTTTGTCAATGGACCTTTTTGTGTGTGTACTTATTTAATTTGTGGTATCAATGTTTGTTTTTCAGAGAGCTCTTGCTAAGACTGGAGCAGAATCTATCAGTTTGCTTGAGCTGTGCAGAAATACAAACAGAAAACAAGCAGCTGCAAAATTCTACAGTTTCCTGGTACTTAAAAAACAGCAAGCTATAGAGCTGACACAGGAGGAGCCTTACAGTGACATCATTGCAACACCTGGTCCCAGATTTCATATTATTTGAATGGTTAGATGCAGCAGAGCTAGTGTTTGTTTCACTAGTTGCGTACATGTATTGCCCCGTCTGTAGGGCCCACAAGACCATTGCAGAAAATTTAGATTTTATTGTCTGTATAAAGTCCTTGGTTTTCTTTTTGGGTTATTTTGTTTTTTTGTATTTTAAATTTACCACTTAAATTTTTAGTGAAACTGCTGGGGTGGGTGGCTTGAGTTCTAACTGCAGAAACCAGACAGCTCAAGGACCCAGATGGAGATTGTTTTTAACAACTCAGAGCAGATGTGTGCAATATTGGTGCATGTAATGTTGAGTATCAATGAAGATGTCTTACGATAATTTGACTAGTTGATTCAATAGTGATATTTTTAACCTATACAAGTAAACCTGAATGGCCAACCTATTGTCTGATTAAAAACTTTGCCAAACTCGTCTAAAATGTTCGGTCTGCTTCTCATAGTAGTGGGTTTTTTTCCCCTTCCCTAGATCTTTGTGCATATCGTGGGTCTCTTAAAGCTGCCAATATGAAAGGTAGTGCCTGATATGTCAGCTTGCTTTGTCACTGCATTTTTGCAGTCAGAATTCTGTAGCCCTTGATGCTAAGGGGAAACGGGTGTCTGTGGAAAGCACTTCCTCTACGTGATACTGTTGCATACATGAAAGGACAGAACATGTGTTAAGCATTTTAGACGAAACATTCCTTTTCACTCATCACCTCATTATGGTCCACTACTGATAATGGCTAATCACTGTTAATAAGGGTCAAATAAAAACTCTAGTCATTTCATTTAAACCTTTAAGGTATCGAAATGCTTTAGGTTTGTTAGAGCTGTATATAAACTCCAGACTTTTTAAAACAGACTTCTAGATTGTAAATTATCTGATTTTTATTAAGTAGGCATATGAGGATAAGAATTAAGATAAGTTGAACAGATTGCCTTTGTAAAAATGCTAAATTCCGATACCACCTGTACTGAAAAGGGTAACAAATTTGAATATACAGTACAGACGGGCACAGTTCCACTTAATTGTGTAGTGTATTAAATGGCTCTTTGGATATATTTATGGTTTTAGTATCAATTTTTCCAATAATACACACTCCTATGTTCAAAATATTTTATCACTTTTGCAAAAGAAGTCCCATTTGATTTTACTTGTTAAGAATTAAGCTTTACTGTTAGACCAGGTAGCACCAGAAATTATGTGAATATGTTGATTATGGAAACCTGTCTTAACTTTTCTTAGGGCAAAATTATTCACACTGAAGGTTCTGGTTTTAATGTTGGCACTTTTGTGAAATAATTTTGGGACTCTGAATTTTCAGTGTATACTCAACTGTAAAATTATGTGAATGTTTTAAAAAAAATCTGAGACTACATGATGACCATGTTTTAATAATCCTTGAAAAAGTTAATTGTATAAAGTTACTGCAGCTTTATTTTCAACATGATGTGCCTGTAAAACCATGATTTTTTTCCCCTTTGTAAAAAGAGACATTGTAGATAACTTGAATGTTTAATTATAGAAAAGGTCATTAGTTTCTTGTTACACATTTTTAGTCTGTTTTTGTTGCTTTTCAAGGTTAATATTCTTGAAAATAGTTGATGCTGTTATGTATAACTTTTCTAATAAAAGTTGTGTTATAAGCTGATTTGTATTAGCTCTGTATGTTGTTTGAACAGTTTTCATTTATGCAGTAGGGTTCCAGCATTTACAGGTTGCTTGTTTTGGTATTAGGAGTGGAAGTGTAACAATTCAGGTCTTTGAGAGATTTAAAGCTTGAATATGTTAAATAACCCTTCCTTCCTAATGGCAAGAAATCTATTTTACTGGCTGTACTGTGGTTTTGTTCAAGTGTTCTATGCTAGGAATGTCTGTGTGGAAAATTAGGGGAGACTGTCTATAAAATGTGATTCATCTCCATGCCAGTCCCTTCTGAATGCCAGAATGCATCCAGTTTGAATTCCTTTAGCTCTGCTGTTCCCTTACTTCTAGAATTGCCTCTGCATGTGGGTATGTCAGTGCTTCTGAAGTTATGTGCTCCTGGTAGGTCCAGACACTTGGATCCAAGCCTGTAGAAACAGTGAATCTCCCAGGGAGTCACTCGGGTTACCTGCAGAGCTCATACGCAGCCCAGGGTCATGAATTCTGTTCGACTTAAGCTGTCTCTGGAAGTTGAAGAACCAGCCTGGATCCAATAAACCGACTTAATCTGGGCTCCACACCAAAGGGACTATAGTGCTTTTGAGCTACCTGTGAGAGCGGTCGGGCTGATCTTTGTGCCGCAGGTCTCACGGGACGCGGCTGGCCTGCCCTGAGCTCGCCTGGGGGTGTGCGTATGTGCCTGCAGTGGAAAATAAGGACTTGACTTTTCATTCCTGTGGTTAAAGCTCTGTAAGGGAGAGAAGTATGGGAACTCAGGTACTCAGACTAGAATGAAAGGTAGCTTTTCTGCCTTTTTGTTGTATCAATCTAGGACATTTTTATCATCAGTTTTGCTCTTTGTTACACCACTGTGATCAGCACTCATGGCAGGCTGATTCTACACAAATATATAGTCCTGATGACACTAAATATAATCTGAGGCAGTGAATGCAAGATCTGCTTTATAATGTACCAGATTTGTTATTAGTTTTGAACATGGCCTGCCGGTAGTGCTGACAGGCTTGCATTCCTTGGAAATCAGGCTTTGCAGTGACATACTGATCAGCTGTTGAATAAGGTCTAAGGAATGGTGATGGACAAAGCATTTGCTCTCTCTATTTCTCCTGTATCTACAAGTACGTTTCCCTAATCTGTTTTTGTGCAGTGATGAGTTGCAGAAAGGCTATCTGTTGCACAGCATTTGTTCTGTTTTCCCTATGACTCCTGTTCTTTACAAAGATACAAAGAAGTACAGCATCTGCATTTTTTTTTTATAGTTCTTCAAATAAACGTCTAACCGGTTTTAAAGGAATTAACCGTAAGCATTCAGTTAGTTTTTACCAGATAAGCCATTTTCCTAGCAGTTCAGTAACACCATCAACTTTCCAGAAACCAGTCTTACGTGGGATTTAGATTTGATCAATAACGTTACCATGAAATGTATTCCTTGCTGCTTTGCCGTTCAGGCTGGAGTGTCTCTGGTGTGTTTGGCTATAGCGTTACACTGTGTCAGTGAGGGGAAGGAACGGCGTGAATGCCTCTCGACGCTCTGCCTTCCCCACTGCCAGCAGGTTTGTTCTGTCTGCAAATCTTAAGTATTTATATCAGTGACTACTATGCATGCCCTGCTTTCCAAATTACTCCTTTTTGGTGGGTGACAAGGAAAACAGTTCATGAATCTAAGGAAACATTCCTGCAAGGAGATTCAGTTGTTGAATGAATTCCTGCCCTGCGTGTCTGACCACCTTGAGGACATACTGCTCCGGTTCTCACTCGAGAGAGCTCTCTTCTCAGTTCCAGACAGCAGACGGGAGGAAGTCGGGCAGGTAACGTTACCTACATCTGTAGGTTAAATAGCTCCCAGCTTCTGGGAAGGGTAGGAGCAGAGGACTCTTCATAATTCACAAGACATTTTATAAGGCAAGTTCTAACATAGCTGAGAGTGTTGGCTGAAGGTATCACTGGAACTCTCACTTAGGGATTTTAAACCAACTTGGTTAGCAACCCAAGTGGCAGCTGCCATGTGCAACTTTGCTTCAGGGACTTTGTTGGAGGGTCAAGTATACGCGTTAAGGATGGTGAGCTGTGCCCATCTGTAGACACTAGATTGCCTTTTCTGCTTTGGTCTTTCCAGCTAACGTGCTCCTGCACCTGCAAATAAAGGAAGTCAAACTTCAGAGGCTTATTCTCCATTCCCTATTGTCATCCCACTGCCGTGTGTGTCTGTGGTGGTACGTAAAGTTACTTTTGATGGGGGGGAGTGGGGTTCTGGTAAGTTCTGTTTCCAAAGCCATCCAGTGACCTCTGCCTGTGGCACATATTTCCTCAAGTACTGATCACGTTCCTGCTTGTTGTTTTTCAAAGATTTTTCTTTTGTTATACCTAAAAGAATGGGCTAGGCTATATGCTGAAAAATTCTGAAAAATGAATATATAGAAAAGTTAGAGGACCAGGAAATAGCTTGTCCCAACACACAAGGAAGAAAGACAATTCTCTGCATTTCTTGTTAATCTCTGAATGTCTGATAAAGCCACTGGAGAAACAGGAACACAAGGTAGGAAAAGGAAATGTTTTCCCTTGTTATTCTCACAGGAGCTGTTTTTACATTTGTTTTAGTTCAAAACATTTTCATGCAGAGTCCAAAAAAGTAGAAAAACTCAGCTAGGAGAAAATATTCATATTAGCCAAACACTAAAGTTAATGTTGTGTTATAAGTGGAATAAAGTGCCAGAAACTTTCCGGGAGAACACACCCTCCAATTTCATTTGGCCCTAGCTATTCCCCAGCAGCCAGGAAGGATACAAGAAGTAGTCTGGCTGTCATGAGCTAGGTCTCTACATGTTCTCCCTTCCCCAGCCCCCCCTTCTTCTTTGCCCAACTTTTGTTTTCAATAAAAACATTAAGCATTATAGCATAGCTTGAAACTAGCACTAAATAATTGAGGACTGTGTGGTTGACCTTTAATCATGGATGTTTATAAATGTTGTTTGACAATGATCAAGAATACATGTGATGAGAAACACAGATTTGCTCGTGATACTTAGCAGAGCAGCCTTCTAGAGCAGATGGGGATTTAAAGCCAGTAGTCTTCTCCATGCAAGGACTCCTTTCTAAATTAAATTTTTCTATCTTAGAATGCTTTCCCCTTCCCTGTCTTACAGTGCCCAGGTAGTGCTGGCAGTTGTTTAATTTAGTTACCTAGGTTTGGTGATGGTGGGAACTGATTCAGGGTAAAACCCACCAAAAGAAACATGTTTTTTTTCCTCCAGCTGGATAAATTCCTACATCCTGCACGCTGGGCAGCCAGACAGAAATTTGTGCCAGCATAACACAAGAAGCACCAGGCAGGAGAATAGAGAAGGGAAGGGGTGAGGATTGCTTTTTCGGATGGCTGTGCCAACTTTGCATGTGTGTTAAATCAGTCTAAGAATATTATTCACAATAAAGCTGTTTGAATTCAAGGGTCCCAGTACTGGCTAAAACTGGTGGATTGGCATGTTTATCATCAACTTGCACACCAGTATTAATATTGTGCTTTTCCGAGGCAGAGGTTGAATGTTGTCCCTTGAATCAAGTATTCCTGTGACAGAGCTCAAGTCCAGCCTCTCCCAGAGGATGTGTCTGCACTAGCTTTCTGTTCATTTTGTAAAAGTTAATATATCCAGTCCTCGTGTTACTTGAGTAAGCCAGAATTAGAGTCAAAGTGTGCTTCACAGGCAGCGTGAACCACATATCGCAGTGGACTGTTAACTCTGAAACAAAGGGATTGAAATACCATAAACTGTTCCACCACTGAGCGTTTTTTCAGAAAAGTTCAGCTAAATTTGTTTTTGCACAAATTAAGCTGCTTCTCATATTCCCTGACTACGGGACTGCTCTCCAAAACAAGAGAAATGCTGATGTATAAGGAATAAGAAACCACAGTCAATGTTGTGAGAAAAAATAGAAGGAGAAGCAGCTTAGCGTTTGGATTCAGAAGCCAAATTTGATGCTTAACTTCAGAATGCTTCTCTGATTGGTTAAATAACTGATGAGAGACTCTCAAAAGAAACTAAATGTACCATTTTGGATTCTGTAATTACATGAATGCAAACTTGTAGTTAGTCTTGACGATGCTGAGGGAGGCAGCAATGAGCCAGAAAAGGCATAAAAAGGTTTGTTATGGTGGCAGCTACTTAGCAACACAGGCTGCAGATTTTCTTTGATCATTTCTCAAGACTGAAATAAGTGCAGAAGACACTGGGTGCTTCCAGTGCTAAGTTTCATCTTCACATCTGTCAGAAGCAGTTCCAGTTCGTTAATTATGACAGGCTGCTCCCCGCAGTGTGAATTGGGGCTGGGATATCTGTCGCCTTCGCCACCGAGCTTGTGGAACTACAGGGAGGCTCTGTTCAGAGCTGAGCAGGTAGCTCTAATACTAAAAAGGCTTAAACTCAAGATTTAAAACCAAATCCAAGAGCAGACCCCACCGCACGTGAGAGGAATGTATCAGGAATACTGAAGCCATCCTTC